GTTGAACAGGTATTAGGGCAGCTGGGTATAGGCATTTTTGTATCAAGACGAAGTTTCTACGAACAAGCTATGTAATGAATTATTAGACCTTGAAATGTGGTCAAGGTCACACATATAAGATACCTTTTGATTAACAACTTAAGGTCATATCCGAAATATCCTTGACTTTCACTCATAGTGCCGGGTGCTAAGCTTGACAGTCACTACATATGTAATACCTTTTATGTTTGACGCCAGACGCGGTGCTGGGAACGAGAATCGAACTATGACCTCATGATTACGACCTTTTGGATGATGGCCTAAGAAATGTTAAGGCATTAAGTGCTTTTCATAATAATTTTTCATTTAAGCTAAAGGACAGTCACGCTGACTGCCTCTCAGTCTCATTGATTTAAATGAACTTTCTGCTTAAAAATAATTATACTTTACACTATATGTTAATTCTACTATATATGATTTTTTTTTTTTGGAAAACATATTGGGGGGGGGGGGCACGCCCCCCCCCCCGTGCCCCCCGGTTCCTACGGCCATGGGATGCACTGATTTCGACACATATTTACAGATAAACACATCATTTATTGTTTTCTTTGAATCGTGGATTACAACTTTAAGTTGGGTTTAGTCGAGTTGTCGCGATTTTTGAAGAAAAAAATTAATATTATGCTCATATGCAGAAAATGTTTAATTTATTCTCCCTTGGATATCAAACTGTAACCAACTCAATCTAATTGATATCAAATTTACATTGCAGTATGTTATTGTCCCCAATGAACAGCACGTGTAGTACAAATTGACACACACACACACACACACACCCTCACACACACACACACATCCTCACACACACACGACTCTGAGATATAATATTATCATAATATGATATTATTGATTTTCAGCCTTGAAAAGAGAATATGCAATTTCATCAGAAATTGCTGGCCCTGTCGGTTTAAATTTGTTAACAGCTATTTCTAATAGCTTAGTATACAACCTGTCAGTCATCGGTGAATGCCTCTATCCACCTGTATTCGTATAAACTTTTTTCAAAATGAATTTATGTTGCATTAAAAATTATAAGACCATTATTTAAGTTCACATCTTTCCCCACACCTCCAATAATGGTAATATTTTACATTAAAGTTAAAAAAATAAACTCTAAATAATTCGACTTAGCTTATTCCAAGATTTAAAAGTCATGCTGTAGAAATGATTTTGTATTAAGTTCTTATTCGAGAACATTAACTCTGTAAAAACAAATCTTTTTCAGGGTGTAGTAGTTTCCCCCTTTTCGACTGATTATAAGCATGCGTTATATCGACTGAAACTATGATTGAGTGAACATTAATTGATTGAAATATTGATTGACTTTACTTGATTGAAACGTTAATTTGATTGAAATATTAATTCAATACTGATTGATCAGAACATTGATTAATTGAAATATCGATTGATTGAAACATTGATTGATTAAACGTTGATTGAAATATTGATTGATTTATTGATACATTGATTGAAAGTTTGACTTAAATTAGTTGAGAAATCCATTGATCTTAGAACATTTACTATGCAACAGTCGATTTTGGTCACTGATTATTATGTTGTCTTATCGATTTGATTGATCATATGATAATTAATTGTATAAAAATTTTATGACATTATTGTGAATATAGATATTGGAGCATGCAATTATCGAATTATTCCAGTAAAGACATGACAAACTTCCAATACTGCATGTATTGTTGATCTATTATATCGAAGTAATGTTAAAAGATTTGCATTAACCAATAAATTTTTTTGACACCTGGTGTGAGCCGTCTGGCAGATTTCAAACTCTGAAACGTACGTGAATTCTGAAATGAAAGAGAAATATTCGGATGAGAGAGAGAGAGAGAGTTCAATTCGCCTCAAAAATTCACAATAGACATAAACTTGCATTTTATTATTCAGTCGAATTTGATGCCATTTATTTCTGAAAATTTCTGACTAGAAGTGTAACGTAAAGTGTATTATGAAATTTATTTTGTTTACCTTTCCTGGCAATATACTACGTGAATTTGTAAAATTTGAAATGCATTAACAGTAAATCTCTGTAACATTTAACGAAATCGAGCTTGTTTTGAAGGGCTTAATATCGTGCTTGTTTTAAAGGGCTTAATATCAGGTAAATTTTGTACTCTTTGAACAGTACTTTGTGAGTTTTTCAAGATGGACTCTCGCCATCTCGTCACCGACTCCTTACATTTACATTAGCTTTATTTCAATGAACGTTGTACTTACGTCGTTCAAAGGGAGGTCATTTGAGTACATCCAGAGTTACCTTATGCAAATTTCACAAGATAACTGCTAAGCATTTGAGAGATAAGTATAAATTGGAGATTTCTGGAGGGTGGTGGTGGGCTAATATTTCTGTTTGTTTCAGGCAATAAAGACACGTGAACCAACCTGCTTCATGTATCTGCACGTGCATGTACATGCATTGTACTGCAAATGCAACCTGTGAACCTTATGCTTGATCAAATAAATCGCTCGAATTCTAATGGAATACATACTGATATAGTGTTTATTTCAATAAATGTTTACCTCAGATATTTGAATCTTAATATACTGTTCTTGAAACTAATGTCTCGTCTGCATAAATCAGAGTTGTGACTGTGTCAATTCTGTAGGATCAAAATAGTAAGAAAACTTATTCTTTACAATGATTTAGAATGCATTTTTCGTACGAATTAAAATATAGCAATTACAAAGATGTGACTAAAAAAGGCACATGCTCATTGTTGAATTAAAAACGATACAAAACTTTTCTTTCTGTTGTCAAGAATATAATACAAAGTCATTGTTGCAGTCTTTGAAAAGTAACTGTTTTGTGAGTTGAACTCTAGTCAACACGTGACCAGAAACCGTTGTCGCTGTCAATCGAAAGCGTGAAAACTCTAACCGGCTTTGTGGACTTATGTAGATAAATGTTTTTTTGTGAAAACTATCATAGGATTGCATTTTTGCATTCACCTTAGATACATTACTACGCATTGCCGTTACAAGATCAATAAAGAACCCCCACTTCCTTTTTTAATAATACAATTTATGAAATTTATCTACCATGTATCAGATTGCATGAAATTCGTAATCTTGACAAAACGCTCATGCGTAAATAATTTTGGGGCGTAAATAATTGTGAAATCCAGATATTATTTTAACCACATAAAACACAAACCAAATCCAAATAAAAATCTTCAAATCCCAAGACACCACTGCTGCATAATACTTGTTCACCATACCAATGAAGATCACTTGATATTTCTAAATGTTCATTCTAGAGCAATTGATTTTCAATTGTGTGCATGTATAATTTATTTCCTTTGGTGCAAAGCAAAATTTCAAGCATGAAATCAGTATTGTATGATACACCAAAGACTCTTGATACAGTTAGATGATTTATTGATGAATATATACTTTTGATAACTCTGCAAAATCCATAGGAGTCCGTGTTACATATAGTTATGGAAATCAATCGATGAGATCAATATAGATACTTAATTGATTTAATGCACATGCATGCGGCATCAATTAAATTGATAAGATTGAGAGAAACAATTAATTTGATGTGCGCATAAATTGACACGCTCATCGATTCATTTGAAACGCACAAAAATCCATTATTTAGCGAAATTATTACTTGCAAAAAATCAATTTATAAAGTTCGGTGTTGATGATCTCTTCAGTTTCCTGGGTTATTATTAATTTTAATTAGAATCGGGGATCTTCACTCTTTCAGATAAATTAGTGGTGCGGGCCCGTAGGAAGCAATTTCAGTTGGGGGGGGGGGACCATATATGGGGGCACTATCAACTTCCAAAAATTCCTTGACAAGCAAAAAAAAGGTCATCAGGCGTTATTATTATTGAGGGGGCACAAGCATATAGTAGCTATGCTTTCTATAAGGGTTACTGTCATTTCGCCCCAAAACCAGAACGCCCCATGCATGAGCGCCCCAAATATTTTTACCGGCGCCCAAGTACAAATATGAGCGCCCCAAACTTATTCCACGGGCGCCCCAAATTAGCATTTCGAGCGCCCCAAACAACATCGTCCGATCTAACACAGGTATCTGTAGGTGCTCTCGTTATGTGATAATTTTATACATATAAGTACTTCATCAGTTATATTTTATTTTTGGAATATTTCACTTGAATCTATGTTGAAATTGACTTATGTTTAGTTGCATACAACTGTACAAAATATTCTTTTGTTTGACTTTCCTTCTTCAAAGAACACTTGTGTAATATTCTTTTATATTATCAACTTTTAAATATTTGTGTAATTAAAAACGATAGTTTCAAAGTCTGAGCACCGCTGTTATCCCACATAAAGGAGCCCGCTCAATTATAATCTCATAATTATTTCATAATCCTAGTTTACAAATCTTGGGGCGTTCGTTATACTTAAAATCTGGTGCACTTATGATAGATATAATTTGGGGCGCTCGTGAATTGTTCATATCAATATATTTTTAACATCGAAATTTAAAAAAAAAAAAAAAAAAAAAAAAAAGCCAATAATTTATTTCTTTACTAGTTAATGAGCCTTGGGGCGATCGAAATGCTGATTTGGGGCGCTCGTGAATTAAGTTTGGGGCGCTCATATTTGTACTTGGGCGCCGGTAAAAATGTTTGGGGCGCTCATGCATGGGGCGTTCTGGTTTTGGGGCGCAGTGACTAGCACCCTTCTATAATATTCTATATATTACGCCCCCCCCCCCCCCCCCCTTCCCCGGTTCTTACGACCATGTGGTAATAGCTTTATCATAAGTTTATATAATTCAAAATAATTTCAACTGAGAAATTAGTATTAAATCTAATTTTTGAAAGATGATTTTATTGCAAAAACCATTTCCCAACTATCTCCACATCCTTCTGAGTGATCCGGTTCGATTTACAACCTTGTTTTATCCTTACCCCCCATTGGAAACGTTAGTGTGATTAAGATTTGAAACGTGTCAGGGTCACTAATGCGCTTCAGTCTTGACAGATAAAAAAAACACCGCAGACGAAGGCACATGATCACTAGTTTTAGCTCAAATGATCGATTAAGAATATGTTTAAGAATTTAAAGAAAAAGTTGGAACAAGGCGTAGCACAGTCGCCACTTCGTGGAGCTCTGAATGCCGTGGCAAAGGTTGTCTCTCCACTAGATTTTACTTTCTTAATCGCTCTAACTTCCTCTGGAGTCTGACGCAGAAGTTTGTTTGCCTTATTTAATTACAACTAAACAAGAATCGGATTAAAAATCCATATGTACAGATCTGCATTTTAATAGTCAATAGCATGGAAACGAATCTGTGTTTTGTGATATAGATGTCACTTGCACTTAGAGATGTTGAATTATATTGATGAGGATGGTTATTTCTCGACCTCTATTTGTATTCAAGTATCTTAGTTTGATGCCTTAGGTATCTATTGACTGAAAGTTAAATCAGGTGGCAAGTATATAATGGACAACCTGTCTCTTGTTTATGTCAATCTTTAGCTACATATGTAACTAAAGATATTTACCTGAACAAAACAGAGTTCGAGTTATCGCCCATATTTATTCTGCTACATTGCCAATACATGGAACAAATTTTTATCTTTAAACTGGGTCCATAGGACAATATCATTTTAATGATAGAACATTCTATCTAGACCTACTCGTAACCAAGACCACTCAAACCCAATATGTCAACCTGGGTTCAAGTGGACTTGAAGATGAATCAGTCGTTACAAGTTGACCAAAAACAGACAAGGCCTATGCATGCACAACGATTATACAGTTACGCATGTCAAATTGTCATGTATGAGAGCCCATTGCATTAATTTACTATATCAATCTAAGCTCGTATTTTTTATTATTGACCTTTTTTTTCTCAAGTTTCAATATGAATTAAAATGTTTAAGCTTATAGTTTTTTTATGTGAATACAAAGTAGTTCGAAAAAAAGACATATTTGGAAAAAGATTATCATTTTCACTGAACATTTTAATTGATCAATATGAAAGTGCATGAGTATTTTTGAATTGGTAGTTTTTGATAAAAAAAAACATATATATATATATATATATACACAGCAAAGTAACTGGCAGCTAATGAATTTTGTGTACAGTGTATACATACCATAGTAAAATAGAGGAAAATTTAACACCCATTTTAGCAAACTGAAGAAGCATCACCGAGCCCAGGAGAGCCAATAGCAGAGAGTACACCCAAGAAGGAGAACAATGCTGCTACCCAGGGTTTGAATTCTACAGATGGTGGGGGTATGGTAGGGGAGGGGCCAGCCATTGGTCAGCTGGTGGACATTCCCCTTCAGGAAGATAGTCCAAACACAACTAATGATGTAAGAAATGGAGACTATGTCATGCTGGTCTCTCTTTGAAATTTAAAATCGAGCAATATTTGCAAATTAAACCAAAAAAAAAAAAAACCCCACAAAAAACTGCATTCTATTTGATATACACATTCCAAAAGTACTCATATAAGACATTTAATTTAGAGTTCACTATCTTATAGTTTTACCCTGTGTTTGCAGTTACTCATTACTGATTCTATCAATAGTGTTTAACAAAGGTTGGAATTTTAAGGCATCAGAAAATAAATTCTGGTCTTTTGCTACAAAAAATATTTTCAATTCAGAGTCTTAATAGATGAATAAGCTCTGACGACAAATCCTTTTTTTATTTTATCAGAATGAGTCCAAAATAATAAGAGAGATATATTTTTTACATTACAGTATTCCTCTGCACTGTCCCAGTTACCCGGAGATGATACGCCTCGTGCAGGCCGCTCACGGACATCGTCCATCAGCTCCGTCACAAGCGACTCGTTCTTCACGAACTCTAATCTCGGCCCACATCATCACTACGCACTACCGTCAGACATAGAGAGTGAGGTAGAGGAGCAGGTCTCCAGCCTTGATGGCTACAGCAAAGAAGATCTGTACCAGCTGGTCAGAAAATACGAAAGGCGCTCCATCAGATATAAGTCAAAGTTTATGGAGGTGTGACACAGTCTTTTTTTTTGTTTGAATAAGTTTATTTTTGAATAATCATATTTATTGTTATTTGAAGGAATACAAGTATATTTTAAATGTTTTGCCTTCTATTGGCATATAATTATGAAAGATGGCATATAGAGGGTAAAAAAGCAATCGCTGTTAGGGATAGATGTCAGTATGAAATAATCTGAGGAAATCGTTCAAAAAGGAATGTTCCACAAGGTTAAAGCAGATCAAATATAAAGAAGAAAAGGAAAGCATTTCTTTAAATGTACAAAGAAATGCTGTGAAGCATTCAAGAAATTTATAAAGATTGGCATTGGGTCCAAAATTAGACAACTTATAAACTTGTTTTTACTGCAGAATTTTAATGTTTCTGAGATAGAACCTAATAATTGGAAAAGTGTTAGCAGTATTAAATGCTGTATGTGTACATAAATTGGCGTATTCAAAATTTAGAGCAATCAATGGATATGGAGTTATTGGCGAAATCATGAATTAGCGCTATACATGTCCGTGTCGTATATGGTATTCATAAATGATTTCTTAGCGGTATTTATGAATTAGTGCATCATTGTCTGCGCCAAAGCCGCTTAAATATGAAGCCCGCTTTTTAAGTACACATACAGTATATTTAAGATTTCATGGGGCATTTGCTGTTGCCTTATTTCACTTATGATCATTTGCTTTTGAAATAATAGTCACTTAGGTGTTTATTAAAATAAAATCTGAAGTTCTTAAGAATTCTGTTGTGTAATTACAGGTAGCAAACATTTATAAAGAAGTTGTGGCTGAAAGGGACAAATTAAAGGTATGGAATTTCTATAAGTAATTATGAAATATTTGTTATCATAACTTTGTTTAGATAGTTAGAGTCCTTATACATGTAGCATGTTCCATGTCAAAACAGTCTAGGGTTTTACAGTGTAGTTTGATTCTAATGCATATATTCTATAGTGTGTTTCTTAGACACTAGTTGAGGTGGACATTATCACTCAGATTAAGTGTGGTCATAGAATAATTTTCTTATAAATTCTTTAGAACACATTGACCCAGACACAAGACCGAGCTTTCCGGAGAATCTCTGAGCTGAAGGAGCAGATTCAGCTCGATCTGCTTGCCAAGAAGGACCTCGAAGAAAACTACAGGCTGATGCTGGAAGAGAAAGATGAACACATCAAAGTCTTCAGGACTCAGGTGAGAATAAGTTATCACACAGGTAAATCACAGGTAAATCAAAGTCTTCAGGACTCAGGTGAGAATAAGTTATCACACAGGTAAATCACAGGAAAATCAAAGTCTCCAGGACTCAGGTAAGAATAATTTATCACACAGGTAAATCAAAGGTAAATCAAAGTCTCTAGGGCTCAGGTAAGAATAAAGTCACCAGACAGGTAAATCAAAGTCAGAGAGGAAATTGAATACATTGATGTCTCATGTACATGTATTATAATTATAAATTCAGTAGTCAGGGTTAATATGATTCTGTATTTGTATTAAGATTTGTACACAGGTAAATGAAGTCAGAGAGGAAATGAAGTATACGTTGATGTCATGTATAATGAATTCAATAAGTATGTAAGGGTTAATATGATTCTCTAGCTCTACTTTATCTAAGACTTCAGGACTTGGCAAGTATTAAGATAAATATTAAAATCAGAGAGAAAATGAAACAAATAGGGATAACTCTTCAAAAGGCTAAGCAACCACTAAAAGCTATTGTGATGAGCTTTGAAAAAAATCTTAGCATAATTTATCTAAATGGTGTTTTTGTCTACTTCATTGCATATTTATTTTAATTATTGCAGTGGTCATTAGAGGCCATATTAACTTCTCAAAATCAAAGCATAAAACACCACATGCAATGCTACCACTTTTAAGGTCTGCATCTCCCTCTATTTCATCAAAGTAGGTAAACATGGATGTCTACATGTTGAAAACATAAACCCAATATCAATTTTCTAAAAGCAAGATTCAAACTTTTTTTAAAGTACTGTTCAATGTTGACAGATAAGGCTGCTAAGAGAAGGAAAGGAGATCCCACCTGAACTGGAAGAACAATTACAGAGTAAAAAGTCCCCTCAGAAGGCCCCCGTAACTGGAGGCCCAGGAGGGGATGGAAAAAAGGAGGATAGTAATGTTCAACAGCTTACAGAAAAGGTACAGTATCCTGTGTATATAGCCACAGGCACTGGAAGTTAATGTAAATATTGAGTATGTGCATGTATAAAAAAGGAAGGGTAGGACACTCTTTTTGAGGCAAATTCGGGTTTGGGGTATTTGGATAGTTTTTTAAACGGCCTGACACGATAAATCCTCTCTATATACTTTACTTACAATATATTTCTTGCTTCGTTCCGCTCCAATGCATTTTACTTGAAGAAATAGACGTTTTTACACCTTCAAGTGCCTAAGAATTTTGCTAGACTGCTCTACTTCAGGTTACAATCCCAAGTGAATTTAAAGCTAACTTCTGATTGGTCAGTCAAACTGTAGAAAATTAAAATCAAAATTCGTCGAAAGAAAATTTATCGACTTCTAAAACCAGTAGGAGATGGCTCAATTGACAAATATTCCATATTGCAGTTTTGTATTTGAAAAATTATTTTTCACATATATGAAGTCCAATCAAAATTAAGCTTTAAATTCGCTTATGATTGTAACCGGAAGTAAAGCAGTGTAGCAAAATTCTTAGGCACTTATGTTCTAGTTAATGTAATGCAGTTTATTAGCTCACCTGAGCTGAAAGCTCAAGTGAGCTTTCTGATCACCTATTGTCCGGCGTCTGTCCGTCTGTCTAGCTGTCTGTCTGTCCGTCCATCTGTAAACTTTTCACATTTTCAACTTCTTCTCAAGAACCACTGAGCCAATTTTAACCAAAGTTGGTACAGAGCATCCTTGGGTGAAGGGGAGTTTAAATTGTTAAAATAAAGGGCCAACCCCCCTTACAAGGGGAGATAATCAAGAAAAGACAAAAATTGGGTGGGGTCATTAAAAAATCTTCTTCTCAAGAACCACAGGGCCAGAAAAGCTGAAACTTATGTGGAAGCATCCTTGAGTAGTGTAGATTTTAAATTGTTCAAATCATGGCCCCCGGGGGTAGGGCGGGGCCACAATAGGGAATCAAAGTTTTACATTGAAATATATAAGCAAAATCTTTGAAAATCTTCTTCTCAAGAACCACTGGGCCAGAAAAGCTGAAACTTATGTGGAAGCATCCTTGGGTAGTGTATAGGGCTGGGACGATATATCGAGATATCGATAATATCGATTCAATGTGAGGATGATACGCATATCGATACATATGAAGAAATATCGACATATCGCCCAAAAAATTCTGACTAATGTTTTTCTTTGTTTACTTAACATTTTGGGTTTAATATGTAAAATAAATATGCTTAATATAAATATAAATATGAAATACATAATAATTAAGACCACTTGTGGAAAATAATTAAGTTTTACAACAGATATACAACTTCTTTGAATAAATTATTCTTATATGTGAAGAAATGTTTTGTTCACTTCAATATAAAAAAAGGATTTATAACCAATTAAACATATCGTGATACATATCGTATCGTGGCTCAAATATCGGGATACGTATCGATATAGAAAAAGTTGTATCGTCCCAGCCCTAGTAGTGTAGATTCTAAATTGTTCAAATCATAGCCCCCGGTGGTAGGGCGGGGCCACAATAGGGAATCAAAGTTTTACATTGAAATATATAGGCAAAATCTTTGAAAATCTTCTTCTCAAGAACCACTGGGCCAGAAAAGCTGAAACTTATGTGGAAGCATCCTTGGGTAGTGTAGATTCTAAATTGTTCAAATCATAGCCCCCGGTGGAAGGGCGGGGCCGCAATAAATATTACAAAGGGGAGATCTTGTGAAGAACAGCAGGGCCAAAGTAACTCAGGTGAGCGTTGTGGCCCATGGGCCTCTCGTTATTGTTAGCAGATATTTCAATAAAAACAAGGTTAAACTGAATCTTTAGGTGTGTAGGGAGTGAGGGATTCTTGGAATTTGGAAAATTGATTCTATACATGTATCTGTAACTAGCTTTTACCAAACAATTAAACCATTATTCCCTTTGTTCTTTAGAAATGAGTTTCGCTTCATTTTAGCAAGATAAACAATATTATTTAGTCTGTATTTTGCAGGAAGTTTTTCTATAAATTACATGTAGGTACAGTGTATTTTCAGCATTAAAAGAGCTTAGATTATTAAATTTTTTTTAAAGAAAAGAAATTCAAGGTCACATACATGTAATTAGCTTGCAACATCCCATATTGTAGGTCAAGAGATTGGAAGGTTTACTGAGTCGCTGTAAGGAGACCATCAGAAGCAATAAAGAAAAGTCCAGTCAGTTGGAGGAGGAAAATGCAAAACTGACCAATGAAATCAAAGAACTTACAAAACTGAAGGTACTCTATTCTTAACAAGAGGTACTTTAACATATTTGGTTAGTTGTCAAAAAAGCTTTCAAAATTATTTTTATACAGTGTTTGGGAATTACGTGTATTTCAAAATCATTATCCAGTCTTTTGGATTTAAATCTGTGTTGAGAAATATTTGAAATTGTTGTAACAATTGTTGTAAGCTTATTTGGTATAGCATATTTGGTACATCTTGTTGAAGATGCAATAACCTAAAATAATACAGTTTCTTTTCATAATATGAAACTTCCCCCTTTTCTCAGGGTACCACAAGTCCAGATCAGTTATCTAAACTACAAAACCAGATCAAGCAGGCTAGACAGGTCATTGAACAGCTGGAATCTGATAGAGAGCTGGCGATCGCAGAGGTCAAACGACAGGTGCATGAAGAAATTCAGGCCAAGGATGAGGAGGTCGTCAAGGCTAGAGAACAGGTCAAGGTCAAAGAGGAGGAACTTGCTCATGCACAACAGGAAGTGGAGCAGCTCAGGGCAGAGAATCAGGCATTCCAGGAAAAGATCGAAAAATTAGAAAAAGCAGGTAAATTGAAATAAAAGGTAATAATACATGTACTAATGTTCAGAGAATTAAAGTCATTCATAGCATTCAAATACAGAGAGAGAGAGAGAGAGAGCGAGCATTTGAATTTTTGTTTTATAGGGAGTGATAAAGTAGTCTTACAAATGTAATCTCTATTAATGATGTAAAATTTGCTAATACAGCTAGATCTTAAGGGAATATGTACATGATTTGTATAGTCAATATTTATTGTTTGAAATAGAATATTTTTAGTAAGTTTTACTTAATGTTTGCTATTAACAACAATATTCATGTACCCAAGTATTACTGCCTTCCTTTTACTATGAAAGCAAACATCTTTTATCTCCTGTTTAACTTTTATCTTTGTAGCCAGAGAGAAACTAGAGAAATCTAGGGAGATTGTAAGGAAACTGAAAGAGGAGAAACAGAGGTTACAGACAGAAATGGAGGAGCGGATCCAGAAAATGGACGCAGAGTATAAGGAGCGGATCCAAAATGTGGAGAAAGCTATGGACGATGAGAAGGAGAGCTTGGTACAGGAGTTATCAAAAGCTAAAGCAGCGGCCATCAGCTGTATGCAGGTAATGGGGGACAATGTCACTAGGTTTCTCATTTCACAGGCAACAGTTTCACATTGTCACTCATTTTACCAGTTTAAGAAAAAAATATATCATTTAAGGTTGACAAGCAAGAAACACAGAAAATGAGATTAGGCCATGAGCTTGAAGTAAACCCGGATAATTCTTACCTTGTCTTAATTAATTCAAACTTCTAATGTTTTGATCTAGTTTCACTTTATCATAAACAATAATTTGATTTTGAAAAATTGATTAATTTTGAAGAAATTCCAGAAAATATATATATCAATAAACCTAATTTTATATATTTTTTTGCTATTTACATGTATTTTCATTTGCTTTCAAAAAGAAACATATCAGTTGTTAGAAAATGTATATCTCAGTCAATCTAATGATTCTCTATTCTTAATCTCTGCCAATATGTAAGAAAATGGTCACAAAGACAATTTTAATTTTGGTACCAGCATCATGGAGTGTTCCATCTAGCTTTTGCTGTGAATGATGAAGTAACAAGAACAAAAGAAAACAAAGCAAAAATGAAGCCAAACCAAAGCAAGATATAATTTCTTAGAGATTTATTTTCAGATTGATCACAAAATTTATTGATCAATCAATAGTTTTATACAGTGCATATAATGCAACATCAATTACTTCAGTTAATTTGGACAACACTTTTTACTAACTTTAACTTTATGGTTATCATTATGACTTTATATACAAATTCTGTGAATTTTTTTTTGAACGTTTTGTGTTTGTTATCAAGGAGGAAACAGAAAAGTCTATTGCAAATCGAGTCCAGGCCTCAATGGAAGAGAGAGATCAATACTGGCATCAGATCCTACAGGAAAAAGAGAAGGAACATTCAGATGTGCTAGATACCAAGGTTAGTGTGTACAAAAGAAAAAATGGAGTTGTTCATTCCTGGATAGCACTAAATCCCCCATAAAACCTGTGCAAATTCTTTATTCCTAAATCTATTCTAGTCGATACTATAAACTAAGCAAAATATTGGATGTAGTCTGAACTCATTCGTTTTACAAGAACACCAATTAATCTGTTGATAAAAAGAAATCATGATTTGAATAAATTTATTACTCTTATTGAGAGATAGACTTTGATACCTTATGCAGTGCACTACACTGTGTAAGAATTTAAAGTTTCACCGTTTTGCTGTATGTGACCCATTTTACTAATAAAGGCCTTGTGTGTTGACAGTTTTCTGAATAATCTGACACTGTGTGTATTGTTCGCAGGAGAAGGAACATGCTCAGTTGGTCAGACAGATGGAGGAAGATAAAAGTCGTAAAATGGCTGAAAAGGAACAGGAAATGAGGTTAGCTGTGGAGGAAAGGGACTTACAAAAAATGGCTACCTTATCACAGCAGGACTCACTCAGGGACCATCTCCAAAGTCAAGTGGACACACTTTCTTCTGTAAGTTAAAAGTAATTTGAAATATAGTCATAATATTTTCGAAATGTATCCTTTTCATCACAATATTGTAACAGTGTCATTATGTCATTTTGTTACATGACAAAAAAGTAATAACTTTTTTTTTCTGCAATCATGCAGTGTTTTAATTTTGTTTACTGATTCCTGAAAATGGGTCCCATTTCAATAATTTTCACATTACCCAAGGTTCTTATAAGATATCTCTAATGATCATATTATTGAGGTCAAGGGCATTATATATTTTTGAGCCATATTTTATATATTGTGTGAACCTGCTTCTCTGTTAAAGCATTTGCAAGGTAGAATTTATTAGGTGTTGTTGTCATGTGTTTTTTTTTTTAAGGAAAAATCAAAACTAGAAGAAGAGTTGGCCGACATTCAGAGTGTTGTTACAAAACTCACAGAGGAGACAGAAAGAAAGATCCAAAAAATTCAGGAAGAGGCAGCTCAACAGCAGAGGGAACTAGAGTCCAGGCACCAGACTGAAATTGAGAAATCGCTCAGTGAGAAAGACCAGGCATGGCAGGAGAAACTGCAGTCAGCAGTGGAAACCCATAATGTCCAGATGGCAGAGTTAACACGGAAGCAGGAGGATGCCATGCAGGGGTCAGCATCGGAGCTGGAGGGGTATTACAAAGAGCAGATTAAGTCAATGAAGGCGAACTATGAACAACTTCTTCAAGAAAGAGCTCAGCAGGTGGAAGCTATGAATCTGTCATTGCAGCAAATCAAGGAGGAGAAAGAAAATGTAGAGAAGGAATTATTTGAAGTGAAAGAGGAACTAAGTCAAAAGAGGAATGAATTGGAAAACCTGATGACTGAAAGTAGTAATTTTCAGTCTGAAAAAGATGCCAGGATTGCAGAACTTGGAGCGGAAGTGGAAACGCTGACAAAAAATATGGAACAGTTAGGAAGAGAAAAGAAAGAACTGGAGGATGACATTGTAAAAATGATAGAGCAGAAAGAGAAGCAGGAGCAGACGTACAGGGACAGGATCTCAGAACTCACCCAGGAAAACAGTGACACAATGGCAGCCATATCAGCATCATCTGACGAAAGTATCAAAGCACTGACCAATCAGATTGAAGAGAAAAATAGAGATATAACAGAACTGATGGAGAAGTTACAAAAAGCTGAGGCCAAGGTTGTAGAACTGGATAAACAGTGTGAAAAGGTGGAAAACAAACTTTCTCAGTCATATAAAGAAAAATCTTTCTTAGAGGAGAAAATAGCCAGTTTTGAAGTGTCCATGTCAGAATCCCTGAAATTAAATGATGATTTAAATCAAAAAGTTAAAGAGACTCAGGAGATGTTTAGCTCCAACCAACAGCAGCTGCAGCAAGAAAAGGCAAGTCTAGACAAAAAGATCACCTCATTACAGGAGGCTGTCAGTGAAGGTGAGCAGAGGGTGTCAGAAATGGAACAGGCCATAATACAGAAAGAGGGGGAAATTCAGACATTGAAGAAAGTTTTGGAGGAAAATGCTGTCTACATTAAAGAACTGGAAGGAAAAGTGAAAGAAACAGAAACTGAGAAAAATGAATTGTCTGAGATTCTGGGAAGTAAGGAAGAGGAGATAAGCAAGGAAAAAGAGAAGTTTGATAGACTTAGGGCAGAGGCTAAAGGAAGACTGAAGGAGCTGAAAGAGAGTTTGGATGAGAGTGGACAGAAGTACCAGGATCTGGAGCTAGAGAGGAAGACCCTGATAGATAAACACAATGAGGAGATGAAGGAGGCTCAACAGAAACTCCAGGAGGAAAAGTCCAGCTATCAGGGTATGGAAGAAAGTTTCAAAGCTCAGTTTGAGGAGTTGAAGTCAAAGCACAAAGAACAAGTGAACAAAATAAGGGAGGAATTCCAGGAGAAGCTTAAAGAGAGAGAGGTGGAGTTTGAAGGGAAATTAACAGAACTAACCAAACAGAAAGAACTGAATGCTGAGGATCTGATGAAAGACTTTGAAACAAGAAAGATGCAGGAGATAGGACAGATTGAAGAGAATCACAAACGAGAGATGGCAAGCCTTGTAGAGGACTGGGAGGGGAAACTTCTGAAGGCAAAGGAGGAGTTTGATAAAGTGAGACAAAACCTGATCAGTGAACACCAAGGGGAATGTGCAAGGATTACAGAGGAACATCAGAAACAATTGGCAGAGGTACAGGCTAACTTGAAACAAAAGATAGCTGAAAAGGAATCAAGAATTGAACAACTCAACTCTGACTTGAATTCTGCTCTAGAAAGTAAGGAGGCCTCTTTGAAAGAGATGACAGAAAATCAAGCTCAATTTGAGGGATCCACCAACAAGACCATTGAAAATTTGAAGCAGAAGTTGCAAGAAGCAGAGGAAAAATTGGTTCAGATGAATGAAACTGTCAACAGTTTAGAGACAGAGAGGAATAGTCTTATTGAAAGCAAAGCAGTGTCTTCTTCAGAGTATCAAGAAGAGATCAATTTACTGAGAGAATCAGAACAAAAGAACAAAGAAAGTCTAACAGCTCTAGAGGAGCAGGTGAAAGACCTTAATCAGCAACTGTACACAGTGTCAGAAAAACATGAAAAAGAAACATCAGAAAAAGAGCAAGTGATCAAAAACCTAGGTGAGGAAATAAATCAATTGACCAACACAAATAAGTCTATGGAAGAAATGTTGGAAGAACTGAGTGAAGCTGCCCAAGCACGAGGTGATGACTTGCAAGAAAAGGAAAGTAAGCTGAAAGAACTGGAAACTTTGCTTGCAAAGAAAGAAGAAGAATGGTCAAAGAAACTGGAAGAGATTCAACACCAATGTAGTCAAAGAGTTGAGGAAATTCAGAAAGAGAATTCAAGGTGTGAGCAAGAATATGAAAAGAGGATATCGGAAATGTCTGAGAATGACAGCGAACTTCAGGCAAATCTGACTCAGTTGAATAGTAAGGTCAGTCAAACAGAGGAGAAACTTCATGACTGCATTCAGCAATATGAGTCTCAAATAGAGGAATACAAGAACAAACTAGAACAACAGGTGGAAAGTGGCAAGCAGGAGATTCAGAAAGTGGAAGAGCAGTGGAAGAATAAGTTACAGGAGCTGAAGCAGAAGTACATGGCTAAACTTAAGGAGTTCCAGAAGGAAAACCAGGACAAGGTCAGTTCAATGTCACAGGAGTCCAGTGAGGTCCAGAGGAGACTTATGGAGATGGAGAGCCAGTTGACCCAGGAGAGGACAGATAAAGAAGCCATGTCCGAAGAACTTACCCATGCTAACACCAAACTTCTACAACTGGAGGAGACGTCTGGGGAATCCAAGATGGCCATCATTGATCTGGAGAAGAAGATTCAGGAGATGGAAAAAGTGGCCGGGGAAAAAGACCAAAGGATCTCAGAATTGCAAGGACGGATCCAAGAATTGGAGTCTGTGATTGTTGAAAGGGAGAGTGAGGTTAAAGAGTTAAGGCTGTGTGTTGATGAGAAAGATAAAGAATTGAGTGAAAAAGAAATGAGAATGGAACAGTTCAGTGGAAGAGTAAATGAATTAGAAAATGTAGTGAAGGAAGAAGGAGTGGTGAGTGGGGAATTAAGGAAAGAATTATCAGAAGTTGTTAATCAGGTGACTCAGTTAAAGGCTCAGTGTGAACAACTACAGAGTGAAAAATCATCATTAGTGAGTGACTTAAAATGTCAAGATAGTGCAGTAAATGAATTACAAACAAAATTATCTGAACTTGAGGCAGAGAAAAGTACACTGTGTGCAGAGTATGAGACAAGGCTGTGTGCTGTACAGAACTATAAGGATCAGTTGATTGAATCAGAGAAGGTTGTACTTCAGAATCAATATGAACAAAAACTTAGTGATTTAAAGAGTGAGGTTGAAAAATTAGTGACAGAAAATAATGAGTTAAAGAATTCAATAGTGCAGATGTCTGACACGGACACTAAACGTGGGGAAGAGATGTCTAGTATTAGTGAAAAATTAGTGAATGTGATGAGAGAGAAAGAGATAATGAGTGATCAGTATAAACAAGAAATTCTAGAACTTCAGAACAAACATTCCATAGAGTTAGCAGAAATGTCTTCCAAGATTGAGTCGGAAAATACAGCCAAAATTGCTGAATACAAGAAAAAGGCAGAAGTATATATCGCGAATATTAAAAAACAATGTCAGGAGGAGAAAGAGGCATTGAAAGTGGAGCAGGAAGAGAGTATTGGTAGTCTGGTGATGGAGAAAGAAAAAGTGGAGGAGCAATTAAAGCAAGAGCAAGGAAAGTGTGCTGAGGTGGAGAGGCGGATATCAGAGTTAGAATCCAGAATACAAAGTTTGACGACAGAGAAGGAGAGTATCACTGAACAGTTTGAGAAAGAAAAATCATATCTGACAACATTACATGAGCAAGAAATTAAAGCTCGGGAATCTGTGATCGCTGAACATGTTCAGAAGATGGAGGAAGTCCAAGGAAGTGAAAATTCTTTGAAAAGCAAGTTTGATGAGAGTGTGTCAAAGGAAAGTGAGATGGTAAAAACTATTGAAAGTCTGAAAAAGGAAAACTCAACCCTTTGTGAATCTTTATCTCAGCTGAATAGAGACCATTCTGAGGAAATTAATTCACTGAAATCAGAAAATGACAAGTTGAAGTCATCATTGAAAAAGCTAGAGAAGGATAAAGCCAGCTTGGAGGAGCAGATGGCATCTTCCGTGTCGAGTCATAGTGAAGAGTTACAGAAGATGAAGGTTCACTATGAAGAGATGCTGGAAGATCGGGAGAATGAGCACACGTCAAAAATCAAACAACTTGTCAAAGAGTTCAACCTGAAACTAGCAGAAAAGGAAAAGGAATTTGAGACCATGTTCTCCGAGGCACTCAGTAAGATTATTATAAAAATTAAAACCTAATTCTAATCTTAATCATAAAAGTGCTCATTGATTAAATACATTCATTTTTTGTACTGGTAGATATTTACAATCTGACAAGAAATACATTTTAAGATAGTCACCTACAGTTCCTTATTTTAAAGTGTGTTGAATGTTTCTTTAAAAGAATACATGTTCTAACTTCAGTGTGTCTCTCTGCCTTCAAAATTGGTCTTTGGTGAACAAAAGTGCATTTTTACTGTAATGTACGTGTATATTTTAATACCTTTGCTTATCTCTATGACTACAACAGACAAATCTCAGTCGGGGGAAGACAGGCTATTATTAGAACACAAACAGGTTGTGGAGGAACTGAACCGTGACCTTCAGGAGAGGGATGACAGAATTGACGAGGTGACCTTGGAGTATGAGGCCAAATTAAAGGTGATTAGTAATGAGGTTAAAGGGACAAGGACACAGATTTGAAGTTAACATCTTCAAAATTGTCAGTAGAATTGAGTTAAATATTGCAAGATTTTTTTCCAGACTGATATACAATCAAACCTTGTTATCTTGAACTCGTACACATTAACAATAACAGAGCTTTTGCCAGTATTTACAAAAACAGTTGTTTGGTGTAAAGTTATAAAGTGAATATTTTCATGCAAGATCAAGTCATTAAACTTAAGAAATTTTTTCAGTAAAAACAGAAATTCAAAATTGTAAACAAAACAGCAAGCCATGTCTCTTTAAGTAATTAAGTGTTGGCAATCATATATTTTTTTTATTGTAAATATTTAGCACAAGACATTGTTTGATTTGTAAAAAGGAAAATTATTTAAATTGATTTGCAGTTTTGCTAGGAGGAAAATACTCCCACTCTAAATATAAATACACCAGACTGTGTGATTTTAGAAAGTGGTTTATATATATAGAAAATGAAGAACTTGATTGTTTTAAGGTAAATTAGTTACTCTCCATTTTAGGAACAAAAAGATGGCCTTTCATCAAAGATCACACAGCTACAGCAAGAGTTGACAGAGACCAAACAGCACCACCAGATGGAGCTGTATGAAATGGAAGAGAAGCTGAAACAAGCCCAACAGAGGGCGCTGCAGGAACAGGAAGTGATTCACAAAGAGGAAGTCAATGCACTCACACAAGAGTGGAACTCTGAAAAAAAGGTAAAGAGATGTTGAAAGATTGTTTTTTTTATCAGAATCACAGATGTTGTAATGTTGAATTTAAGTGAAATAAGCAATCACTGAAATTACCAGCTAGCACTATACATACTTTGCTGTGGACAGTATTAATATTTCCTTTCAGTATTAATGTAAACACACACATGTAACAGTGATATTTTTTTAGAAGTTATTCCTATTTCCATTCAAGTTTATTGACTGTTTCAGTTCTTTCATATGAGTTTGATTATTTATAATTTCATTGCTTTTGTAGGCCCCATTTTATTTTTCTAAAACATGAGTTGTTTGTACAGTGTACAATTTATTTCCACATCTAAAAATCACTGATAGTAGGCAAACAATTTGAGTTAACAGCTTTCATTATGGTTATAGCAGGCCCCCTTGCTGCATGCCAGTGGACCAAGTGTTATAGAACCTCAGGTAGAGTTGATTTGCACAGCCTGGAAAGCCATTCTCCCCTCATAACTATACTCATAACTAGCTCCATAATACTTGTGTCTGGTTTGAGTGGCTTTTTATAATAACTAACAAGTTATTCTCTTTTAACTTATCCTACTCTTTCTGGTTTGAGTAGACTTTTTATACTGTAATTGCTAATTATTAATTACTTGTAGCTACACAGGGCTTAATGGACCATTTTTGGTACAGGATGCTATACCCGTTCAATTGGGAATTTTTGAATGGGAAAAAAGTGAAAAAAAATATGGATATGTTGATCTAACGTTCTTCTATAGAATAGACAGTATCTTCTACGCACATCATTATTTAAACTCAAATTCAAGATTGTTGATAAAAAGCACTGAAAATTCAATCTGCTGGTCATTTGGAAACTTTTACCTTAATTTTGGGAGAAAAAAATTGACAATTTTCAATTGGGACAGGATCCTGATACCAGATCTGCATGCAATAGATATTAAGCCCTGCTAATTCTGTCTTTTGCCAATGAGCTTATATTTCTATTCTTCATGTTGACAATACACCCTAAAATCTTGAACATAAGCTACAATTGAAGGCTTACACTGATTATCACATTGACAGTGTCCACAAACATTGCTTTATTATACATGTATCATGTACAGTATATAAGGTAGCGTATAGTCAAGATTATAGGGAATTTGTAATGCTTGAAAATTATAGTTTCCCCTTGGTTTATAAATTGTGTAATACAGTCATACATTTTTAGTATTTCAAACAGCAAGACTAGTGATATCAAGCCTTTTTTTTTTTTAACTATTTATCATGAAGAGAAGGTTTTAATACTGTAAACGTACATAAATTAGCACACTCAAAATTGAGTGCTATCTTTCTGTTTAACTGATTAGCATAATCATAATTTGGCACATTTGTAGCAAAGCTTCTATATGTATTTGTTTTAATCATATATCAGTTTTTACTTATTAATAAATAAGTGGACAAGAAGAAACCAAAAGAAGCTAATGTGTGATTAATGTAAATTTAAGTACTTTAACAGTACATTTCAGCAGGTCTACTTTAAGTTAGTACGTGATAAGTACATGCTTCTGCTTGGTGACTGGGAATTAGGCTAGCTTTTATTCAAGTTTCTTTCACTATTTTACCTTAAACTAATTAACCACCATGTTAAGATGCTGGTGTTTAACATTAATCCAAAAAGTCCAAATAAAGTGTTCCCATTTCTACATATTTATGTATAGAGATGTTAGATATTTATGTGTAGAAGTATATTTATGTATACAGATGTTTATGTATCGAGATATTTATGTATAGAGATATTTATGTACAAAGATATTTATGTACAGAGATATTTATGTATAGAGATGTTGCATTTTACCAGGAATTGCTCCATCACAATCAGCTGGCAATAAATGCTCTACAAAGTGGCTCAGGTAGTGCAACCGTCCTACAGCAACAGGTGATGCAGCTGACACAACAGATACAGCAACTCAAAGAGCAACACAGGTTGTTACACTCATACTTGTACAAATTCAGCTATCACAATGTTTGAGTTGGGCAATCATAATTATTTTATATTAATTAAGTAAGCAGTGAGGATTTTAAATATTATCTGCTTCTTAAAAAGGAAAATGAAAAAGAAATTGAAAACAGTAACAGAGCATAAGAAGCATATGGTCCAGAATTATTAATTCATTGAAAAGATTGAAAGCATTGTAAAGTTCACAGCTGTGTTAATAGATGTTTTGTTTAATCATCTTAGATTAGAGCTTGCAGAGGTTCAAGGAAATTTAGAAATGCAGCACAACCAAACACCGTTACGCCCCGGCAATAAAAGGACTCCACGGCATGTGGTGTTTGATCCTAATGATCCCAACATGCAATCAGAATTTGAAAATCTGGAACTTGACAACATGGACCTAAAGGTAGATTAACTATCTAGCTATATTATTTATTGCAAAAGTAATTTTTTTATTATTTGGAACTTAACAACATGGAAGTTATTTTTACTTTTTTTAATGTGAAAAAATTATGATGTAAATGACAGTTTTTCCTTTATTGTTGGATTCTTTTTGTACAAATCAACATGGATACCATATATCCCCCCCCCTCCCCCAACTGAACATTTTTCAAGTTAGAGTCATATAACACTGTCTTTAATTTGTATTTTCAAAATTTTGAAGGTGGATTTTTTTGTATAATACATGTACATATATAGCATTAGCCCATGATTTTATTTTCAAGTATTTGTATTTTTCTGTTTTGCAGTTCACAAATGGTCACAAGAATTACAAAAAAAAAGATAATTAGATATCCTTGAAAACAATCAATTGTACAGTAGGTGTTGTTTGTCATTGAGTTTAATATACTCTTACATGTAACCATTCTATCCAACATTTCTTAGGCCCAGGTTGCCCAGTTGAATGGTCAGCTAGCCCAAAGTAAAACAAGAGAAAAAGAATTGCAGAAACAGGTTTGTAGTTTAGTATACTTATCCTTGCAAATTCATGTAAATATTTTTTTTTATCTGAGTCACTCGTGTGACCCATTTTCAAACATTGTGCATTATCTGTAAACCTTAATTTCAACATTTTCCTTTTAATCTCTTTAACTTCAATTTTAATTAAATGTAGACTTGTACATCAATAGGTGGAGGCAAGCAAAAGCGATGAATTTCGTAAAATGAAAATTGCAGTATGTCTTTGAGAATCAATTCCTTCCTTAGAATACTAGTACTTTCTACCAATAGTGTGCAATGATAATAAATCTCTACCAAGAGTAATTTAGTTTGGGGTTTAGCCCACAGAATGGGGTCTAAGTTTATCACATATGAATTACATCTTTCAAGTTCATCATATGCATCATAACTTTAAAATTCAACTTTTCTCCTTGGCATCTGGCAGACTTTCTGCATTATAATTTTATGATCAAATTTGGCTCAGAATAAGTTGATCGTACGTAAGAAACATGATACAAAGATAATCATCTGGCCTCTAAACCTCTTTAAGGTCATTTGGATGTTCCTTATTTATGTTAAATATTCCATTGTAAGTTTTTTAAGACCAGCCAAAGCTAACAAAATCTTAGTGAACATGTTTCCATCAATTTCCAGAAAATGAAACTGTTCAATTTATTGAATTGAGTTGATGAAATTTTGTTGAGTAGCTGGAATCTCACAAGGGAGGTCACTCACAGTTGGGCCATGGTTCTCCCCCAATGAGCCCAGGCTATAACACAGATGGTACCCCTTCAGGACCCCTCTTAAATGAGGCCACTCAATTAGAGGTAAAAATAGTCATTTTGTAATGAATAAGAAATTAATCATACATACATGTACTTGTAAATGTGAACAAATTTTGGCCATTTTGATAAATATTAAAAGTAAAATGTCATACAGAAGTGGGATTAGAATGTGTCTCTGTGCTACTTTTATATATTTTGTTGTAAATGGCAGTGTTTACTTTATTGTGCTTACATATAAATTGTAAAATATATGGCTACACCCTTCTTAGATATATATATTACTGGATTCTTGAATGACATGAACCTATTTTTTCAGTATTTGAAGAACATTCTGTTCCAGTATATGACAGGAAAGGAAACCAAGGTTTGTAAAATTAATTTCCACACATTTTCCATGTATTTGTCCTTGATACTAATGGCACTAATTCATGATTGTGTCAGATAGTCCTTAAGCTGTGTATGTATGCACTGATTTTTTTCAAATGCCAAAATTAGTACACAAACAGTATTTTGAATCGGGTTGGACTGCTTCTGGTAATTACATGAAATCCTTATAAATTACAGATACACAGCTTTGTTTTTCTTGAAGGAATAAATGGTTAGCATTAAACATTAAAAAAAAGCCAGACTGCCCCAAAACCCCTCATTTCCATTGTGGACTAAATTAGAATCATAACTAGTAACGGGAAAAGTTTCATATTATTTCTGTAATGTACCTTAAAAAGTTTTCTTATTTGTGTTACAGACGCTGTCCCGTGTTATTGCCACCATTGTCCAATTCACAGAGGACCAGACCAAGAGAATCATAACATATGAAGACTCCAAGAACACGGTATGTATCATAATCATCATTGGCAGTATATTTTGGTTATGGATTTCATTACAGACTTATTCCCATCAGGTATATATGCTATATACCCTTGTATAAGTTGATATAGTTACATTGAATATCAGTCTATAAAAGACTTATTTTAGGTTTAATGTTTAGTACTATCATTTAGTCTTATTTTATACTACTACATGCATTATACTAAATTTTTATATAAAATAAGAAATTGGATTAAAACATTTTGTTTTCATTCATAATTATTTTAAAATTCTGAATGCATTTAAAAAAATATGTGTGTATTTATCCCAATGGCTTTCTGTGAAATTAATATAGGTCTGGCTTCATCATCTTTCCCCATACAATGAAAGGGTTTAAAGTTGCTTAAATCATTTAACATGTACCTTCATCCTACAGGTGTGACCTAGCCATGTGAGTTGGGTTTCCTTCACCCTTTACACAATTCCTTGCAGCATCTTTCTGATTAAGTTTTTAAAATGGCTTTCATTGGTGCATTGTTTAGATTTTAGTTTTTGGATGGATATGGAATTTCTCTATTCAGTTCATTGTATCATGTTTACTGTCTTAATCTCTTAAAAAATTGGATTTGGAAATCTTAAATGAAGTTATAAGTAAACTTAAATAGAAAATATGATGATTTTGTTACATGGTATTGTTCTGCATGCATTTTTTTAAAGGACAGAATTGGTTGAATTTTATAAAACCATTTTTTCGTATTTATTTTGTTTTTCAGCAAATTATGTCTATACATGTATTTACAATAATTTTTAAGCAAAAAAATATATTAAGAAATAGACATGCAATCATATCCACACAAATGCATATCAACACATGTACTGTACATCACCAAATTTTTGGGACATCCTATTTTCACAAGATAGTGGGTTGGAATTTATAAGTCAGACAAAATTTTCATGAAATCTGTGTATTGGCTTAAATGTAATCTTTCATAAAACAAATAAACATGAGAAAGAAACTTTTGCGAGCAGATGGTCTTGCTTCATTACATGAATATATACGTGTAAACAAAGGTATCACAAATAAAAAGTGATTTACAGTAATCCCTTTACTGCTTTAAGAGAATTCTACACTTGGAAGCTTCCATGCTTCAGTAAATAATTTGATCTATTGGATGTTATTTGTTTAAATACTTTTTTTCAGTGGCTATCTTCACCTTGAAGTATTTGAGTTGGATTTGGTGAAAACTATGAGCATATCAGCTAATTATATTCACTCTGTGAATGGAAAAACAATGTGATACTCAACTGTGATAGTGGAAACCCAAAGTAAAGCTGACACCCCTGTCAACAGAATGGACCAACCCTGTAATGGATCAGTCCAGTAAGACATGCAGAGATGACAAGAGTGATTTGATTTAATGGTCCTTAACTTTTCTCTGTGTCTGATGGAGATAAACACTATAAAAAAAAGTCTACCGTGTCAAAAAAATGAAGGGTGCACTAAAGTATAGAGACTTTAATTTATGTATGGTGCTGTGTTCAAGAAAAAACAACATTATGATTATTACACATCTGATAGTGTTCATACATTCCTAGTCTTCTGTGCTTCATGTACTAGAAATTAAGATAAGAAATACAGTTTTCAAAAAGGTTTAATTTAGTTTTAATGAAGCCACATTGGTTTGGGTCAGAAGTATTTCTAATTTACTACTCTAAATATACATAATTAGCACACTCAAAATTTATTGCAATCTTGCGTGAAAGCTTTAAAAATATGATTACTGATAAACTAAGTACTTTTACAGTGTGAAGAAAATGCTTTTAGATCTTTGCAATTACACAAAGAAAGCACAAAAATGGCTTAATTATAGTGTTTTTGAAAAAGTTCATGTGATTAATTTTCAATTCAATTGTAAATATTTTTTTGGTATCGTTTGGCTTATATTTCTCATTAAAGAAGTCTGTCAATGAACTTGTACAGTAAAACAGAGACCTAATGTTCATAGATATATCAAATTCTTATATTAAAACCTTTCTTGTTCATCTTTTCCTACAAAGCAATGAAATATAAAGATAACTTGGTGTTACATGCTGATAATCAATAAGTTTTCTCATTGTTGCACCAGGGACCTATATACTAACGGAATAGGAAACTCTTGCAAGTCTCGCGATATCTTGTAAGTTGCGGGATTTCGTAAGTCAATTTTAATTAAATATATCTCTTTTGCTATCAAATATTTCAGAATAAAATCTTAATTTAGCTTTCAAAAAATTATTCAAGATTTATTATTAGCACTGTTTTTACTCCTTATCTGAGAAGTAATTACGTTTATTTAAAAATCAGTGCATGCCCCCGATCAGCCGTATTTCCGAGAAATCGCCGATTTTAGTGGTTGTTTACTTAATATCTAAATTATTTCATAATATGTGCTTTGAAATTTATTAAATATCCATTCCGATACACAAAAAGAACAGATTATATTAATCAGAAAACAGGCTTTTTACTGGGAAAAAACGTAATTTGAAAAACTTGCAGTGTTGTTTGTGCCGTTTTGGGTAAATAAACATGGCACTGAAGGAGTTGCCTATTCCGTTAGTATATAGGTCCTGGTTGCAATTGAGGTGAAAATTGCAGTTTGGAATATTTTTAGACCTATGATTTGACAAACTTTAGGTAGGAAGTAGGGAATTTGTTATTTTTATTGTATTTTGTTTTATTTTGTTTTCATGTACATGTTCTAAGAATGATATTGGCTTAAAAAAAGGTAAATTTATATTATCTATAAAACTACTTTCTTGCTTGTCTATTTGAAAATGGCAAATGGCCATATACATGCATGTGTATAAATTAAGCAGTTTTGTTTTACAGAATTATTAAATTTATCTTGCAATTTTTATTTAAGGATATAACCTAGAAATTGCAATTATTATTATCTCAAATGAGCTAAAGATTCAGTTTAGCTTGTATGATAGAAGCATATCCATTTTCTGTTGATCTGTTAGCATCCATAGGAACAGGGAATTCCACACATACACACATGTACTCTTTCATGTGTCATGTCGACAAATTTGACTCAGGTGAGCTTAATGACCCATAGGCCTTTAGTATTCAAATTTTTTTTTGCCCCTGAAATTGAAGATTCAGGGGCATATAGTTTTTTTGGTCCATCAGTATGTTTGCCTGTTAATCTGTTTGTCTACTTAAGAAATGAATCTAATTTTTGAAGATTCATGAGGACATGGAACTACGACGCTTCACGCCGGCATATTTCATGAAGCGCGTTAGCGCTTCATGTTAAATGTGCCGTCGTGAAGCGTTGTAGTTCATGTACCTCATGAATTTTCAAAAATTAAATTCATTTCTTATATTTACATCATTTTTCTGATGAGTTTCCACAAATTACGCCATTCAACTGTCCGTTTTAAAGTAAAACAGTTTGCACTATAGTTTTGATCAAGTACGGTATTATGACGTAACAATGGAGATATTAATGCTCATCTCATGGTAGTTCATGAGAAAATGAACAATCTTCTCATTTGCAAAGAATCTTAAGGAAAATTACTTGGAAATGTAAATATAAAAACTTTAACCTTGCCCATAACTATTGAATGGTTGGTGCTAGGGCTTTGATATTTCACATATATATTCCTTGTGACAAGACCTTTCTCTAGGTACAACATTTTTGGACTCCTGACCTTGACCGTAGAGTTTGGCCTACATTTGAAAAACTTTAACCTTGGCCTCGAGCTGCCATACGGGGACATCAGTGTTTCACAAACACATCTTGATTTTAATAGAATAGAATGGAATATTTATTCAACCAATTTGGGCCCACAGTGGAGCATAAAGATGACATATGGAAACTACCCCTTCCTGAGTGTGTTGAAAATTTAATAGCGATTCTCTGTAACCACTTAAACTTCTTTGCCACGCATGGTCACCGATTTTGATGAAACTTTGCCCATTATTACAACTTGACACCAGAAACGTATATCAAATAAAATTTCGTTGCTATGTGTCTTGGTTGCCATGGTAACAGCCAGAAAAGTTGAAAAAATAGAGATTTTCAGGTACTTTAAATTTTTATTAAGCCTTAATAAAGACTAAGAAAAACAAACAAACCATTCTCCCAAAAACATGACACCTGGTTGTCACTTATGCTATAAAGAAACTATTTAGAATTTATCTCTAAGTAAGTGGTAACCATGGGTACATTTGGAATACATTTTAGATGCTGAAAAATGCTGAAAAACGCTCTATAGTCACAAATGATAGATGTTACATGATCAAACTCAATCAACAACGTAAGAAAAACAATGAAAAATATTTGACCTCATGTAATTAGGTATTGGCAATATTATTCTAAAAATAACTTTCATGGTTGCCATGGTAACACAGTGTCACCATGCAAAATCTGTTACTATGATTGGGTTAATGCTACTATCGTGAGGAAAAACAATAAAATTCATGACTGGCACAAATGCATCCTTAGGACCTTACAACACCGACAGCATAAGAAAAAATTAGATTAATTGTTACTTTGTAGTGTAACCATGGAAACAACGTCCTAGTTGTTTAAAGTGATATTGTTTTTGCTGCTTTAGGAATTTACTAACCTTTTAATCAAGAAAAATATTATTTGAATCACCTTGAATAGTACTTATCTCGTAGAACTAAAGTTGAATATCATATATTGATAAAGGTTGTTGAAAAATACAACACTGTTGCTATGGTTACCAAGAAGAGAAAATGTTCGATTTTGTTAAGTTTTTGTCAATATTAGACCCTATGTGCCAGCTTTTTGCATCCAGTTAGAGATTGGGTGATAGTCAAAATTGAAAGTCAGGTTAGTTGTTCACATATATCAATCATTAAAGTTTTGGGAATCTACATACAACTGTACGTATCCAAGGAAACAGAGTGTTTTTCAGATTTTTATGCATGTTTTTTCGCCTTATTTCCATAGCAACGCACTATTTGAAGAATTGAAATTGAATTTTTTGAAATGCGAAAATTAGGGTCACACCAAGGCCTTTAAAAATTGATCATCAGTTATATAGAAATATGCTTTTTAAAAAGATAGGAGAAGATTAAAACACTAAGAGAGTAAATTTAAAATCCCTTCGTGGTATTAAAACCATGGCAACCATTGCCAACCTATAAGAAATATCATAATTTGTCCTTGGTATATGTTACAAGGATCTCTTCTCTATTATTTGCTTGCATTTCAACCTATAATTGTTTTTATTCTTAAGTGTATGACTTTATAAAATTAAATGAACAAAATTATTACTTTTGAATACGTGGTTTCCATAGTAACGTATGTTATAGATGATTTACCAAACAAGGTTATCATGCATTTAAGACACCAGGCCTTCAGCTTTCAGAAACAGTCATTGCCACTTGTTTGCTTTGCTGCAAACGTTAACTGTGGGACTCTGAAGATGTTGAAAAATGCCATTTTTCAAACTTTAGGACATGTTGTTATGGTAACCATGACACGTAGCAACCAATTTTTGCCTGATTTGAGTTTACGGTATCAAAGACTTTTATCATAGAGAGTTTGGAGAAATTCTGAGACTATGCGTGCCACAGCTCCTATATAAAAGTTCAAGTCATTACAGAGAATGGCTCTTAAATTTATTGAATCACTGACACGAATTGAATACAAGTGTTACAGTCAGAGGAATTATTTATTATTTCATACCTTATCTTCACATGCATGTACTTTTTGCAGTTGTATGCTTCCCCCCCCCCCCCCCCCCCTTCCCCCAAAATCGCACACAGGCATTTAATTTTGTCATCAAAAACTATAGTACAGTGCTTGTTTGACACTAAGCAGCTAAAAAAGGAGATTGTACTAGTGATTAGTCTGTAAAAATGTATCATAGGGCTAGTGCAATCATGTCCTTCTTTAAATTAAAACATCCGTCTTTGTTTGTCTTATTGTTTTTAAAGCTAAAAATTATTGCTTCCAAGATTATTTTTGCATTTTGTTAAAGCTTTGTATAGGTTAAGGTTGTAAATAAGATTTTGTTTTTATGTCATGCTAAAATATGTTGAAACAAATTTAATTAAAAAATGAGATCTTGTATGCTTGAGTATTTCTGATATGCTGTGGCATATCAGATGGGAGCCTCAAAGATCTTTTTTTAAATTAGATTATATACTGCCTTCAAAGCTCTTCCTAGAAATACTTTATAGCTTGTTTATAATTATTTATTAATGTATCTTCAAATATTACTGTATTTTTGTTATTCCAATAAATAAATTTATTGGTTAATATTTTATTGTCAAGTGTTGACCTTTTCTTTCACACAGCTTTTGAGGACACCTGAGGCATTTTTACATACATAATAGCTGTGTCGTAGCAGCTAGGTAGATGTACATAGAGCTACAATCTTGAATGATATCTTAGCTTAACTCCTATGTAGGGATAAGAAGCCTTTTTCAAAGTGTGTATTCAGTAGGCCTACATGTACGTAGCATCTAGTCTAGCTTGGTAAGATATCTACAATCTTGTATGTAGCCCTGTTGTGTGGTAAGGATAGCGTCTGTTATCAATCTCATAAATACATGAAACAAAAACGAATCGTGAACAGGGGGAAACACGGACCCTGGAAACGCCACTGATGGGATCAGGTGCCT